AATTGGTCAGAATTTTTTTCTGGTTCTGATTATATAGTTTTACGATTACTCAGAGTGTTGGAATCTTGGAAGAAAAAGATCTCTGCGGTGTTTTTTTTAAAAAAAAAAGACCCATGAAATGATGAAAAAGGGAATGAAAAAACTGGAAAGCAACAATTATAATGAATTGGATGTGAATTAAAATATTCCATATGCATTCATCTCCATTTGCTTCATAAATAAGATTATAAACATATTATAGCTACAGTTCAGCAAAGACTTTTTGGGGGCAAACTTCAGGTGCCAGTGTACATGGCAGCTGCCTATAGGCCTATGAGTAAGTGTATTTTACAACCCAGTCACTTTACGTTATCTCCCTGTTATAGACAGGGAACTTACATGACAAAGAAGGGAAGTGACTTACCTGATTGGAACTTATGTTTTGTGTGTTCTAGTCCTGCGCTCAGTCAAACTGACCTGTACTCATAAATGATGTGTACCTGCATGTCTCTTTCAAATGGCTGGAGGATAAGTAGCAAGACGTCTTCTTTGTGCTTGCTGCTGCCTGAACCAAGGCAGAGGAACTGTCACAGATGATACTATAAATGTTGCATGGACTTGAGTCATAAGACACCTCTGCCCCACAAGTGAATAAGCTGTACCCCAGACTATCACTCAGTTATGGATGAATTTCATAAAGTTCAGAATGAAAGTTTGGATGCCCCTCTGAACTTTATTCTAACCTTCTCTGGGATTTGCCTATTCCAAAGTGCTACATTAGCATCCCTTTTTCGAAAGGGAGGCCAGTGTAGACACAGCCATAGCGTGTCTTCGTTCTTCCAGACCCAGCCAGAACTGAGAGAAACCTGAAAACTTAAAAATGGTTTGGAATGAAGGTGGGAGAGAAATGAGTCAACATAAGTGTGGAAAGTAGGAGTTCAGGGAGTGTTGCAGAACCCCCATTATTTAGGCAGGGTCCTGGCTGCTGGGCCCACTGTTCCTCATGGGCTCTGCTTCCAGTCCTGGATCCCACTTGGCTGCCATTCCCATGTAGAGCAGCTCGGATGCTGGCTCTGGGTCCTAACCAGCTGCTGGGCCCAGTTTCTTGGCCACCAGCTGCACATGTGGGGTCCTATCTGCTGGCCCCAGCTCTAAAGGGGGGGCATGGCATGGACACGGGTAAGGAGAGTGCAGCTCCGCACCCCTACTCCAAATATTGTTGCCGTGCTGCTCTGGGTCAAACTACAGAATTAATGTTTCCTGATGGGTCCTGAGCTTGTGTGTTTGTTTTCAATGAATGCTGGAATTTGCCTAGGGGCATGAAGAGAAAATTGAGAGTGGAAAGGATGACATGGTATTAACATATTTTACTGTTACCCTGGAATAAATTCTGTACTGAAGCTGCTCATGCTATCCAGATCTTTGGAAATGTCTATTGTAGCTCACATTGCACATGTAAGAATGGAAAATTTTGCCGGACATTCTTGAACCTTGTGGTGTGGGAAGAGGGCTGGATGAAACAATTTCTAATTAACATGTCAAAGGGTGCTTTGGAAAAAAATTCCCCATATTACAGGTTTCCTTGTTGCATCACTCACAATTATAATATAAAATTGGCACACTCAGAGAGCATGAATGATCTATCTGTGTATAATCCAAAGCAAGATATCAATGCTTACATGCTCTCTGGCTTTCTTCATAGCTTTGTGACTGCCACAGAACTAGTCCCATGAGTAAAACAAGCAGGATATAGCCAGTTCTACAACTTGCTGATACTGGATTTATTTGTTTGAAGGAAGGAGTCAATAAACTGGGATTTCTCTTCTCTCATATTCTCCAGACATGGGTGTGTACGTCATTGTGTTAATTTCAGTTTAGATGATGGGAGGAGGAGGCAGAGAAAGCCCCTTGTGACGTTTCAGACATAACCGGTAATATCCCGTCTTAAAATGGCAGCTCTGAACTCTACACAACCTGTCTTAGAGTGCCTGCCAATAACTACTTTTTTTCAGCAAAACACTTAAAAGAAAAAAGAAAGAGAAAAGAACAGACTGTGCCAATAATTGGGGTGGGGAAGAAGGAAGTGGCCTGTGCAGGAGAGTTGCTGCTGACATTTTGAAAGGAAAAAGAAATGGTCAAATATCAGTGTGAATGTTTTGTTTTTTGAAAAGTTCCCACAGAGTCATTGTTTGAGCAAACACCAATGATAAAGCTGAGAGTCTAAGTAATGGAATATTTCAGAAATACAGCACAACAGATGACCTAAGATTAGTTTTCCTTAAATTACGTACAACATAAAATAGTTCTGGAGCCATGAGTTCCGGAGCCATGTGCCAAAATATTTTTTTTGTTTATTTCATTAAAAATTTAAATCACACTTTATTTTTATCTTTTTTGGGGAAGGAGAAAATGACAAAGGAATGGAAAATTAGTAAACACTACGCACAGGTCAGAATATTGTTGATCATCACCCTGTTGTTATGGATGCAAACCCCAATTACTGGTTTTCACACCCTAGTCCATTTCTTATGTGGACTAAAAATAGGTGGCGTATATTTAAAGGTTTTTTTAGTGAGTGAATTTAAGCAGTTTCCACATGTAGAGCCTTATTTTACTATGTTACTCTGTGAATCAGAATCATAGAATACTAGAACTGAAAGGGACCTCGAGAGGTCAAGTCCAGTATTCAGCACTCATGTCAGGACCAAGAACCATCTAGAGCAGTGTTTCCCCAATAGTGAAAGTAAGGGTTCCGCGAGAACCCAATCACTCCCACCTCCCACCCCGAGCCGGTCTTAGAGGCCTGTACGAGTGGTTTGTGAATTATATTCTGGGGCTCAGAGCCGGTCTTAGGGGCGGGCGAGCTGGACTTTTTTTTTCTTTTTGGTCTACCAGTTTTCCCTGGCGTTTTTTTTAAAGGGTTCCATGGGCAAATAAAATTGGGAAACACTGATCTAGAGCATCCTGGACCAATGTTTGTCTAACCTGCTCTTAAAAAAATCTCCAGTGATGGAGATTCCACAACCTCCCTAGGCAATTTATTCCAGTGTTTAACCATCCTGACAGTTATGAAGTTTTTCCAAATATTCATTGTAAACCTCCCATACTGCAATTTATGTCCATTCCTCCTTGTTCTATCATCAGAGCTTAAGGAGAATCATTTTTCTTCCTTCTCCTTGTAGCAACTGTTATCCTGTCTCCTCTCAGTCTTTTCTTTTCCAGACTAAACAAACCCAATTATTTCAGACTTCCCTCATATGCCATGTTTTCTAGACCTTTAATCATTTTTGTTGCTTTGCTGCATGCCTTCTTGAAATTTTCTGCATCTTTCCTGAAATGTGATGCCCAGAACTAGACACAATACTTCAGCAGAGGCCTAATCAACATAGACTAGAGCGGAAGAATTACTTTGAGAGTCTTGTCAATACTTCAGCAGAGGCCTAATCAACACAGACTAGAGCGGAAGAATTACTTTGCGAGTCTTGCTCATAACACTCCTTTTAATACATCCCATAATCATGTCTGTGGCTTTATTTTTTTGTTTTTGCAGAAGTGTCAGATAGCTGACTCATATTTAGCTTATGGTCCACTGTTACCCCTAGATCCCTTTCTGCAGTTCTCCTTCCTAGACAGTTACTTCCCATTCTGTATGGGTGAAACTGATAGTTCCTTCCTAAGTGGCACACTTTTCATTAAACTTCATCCTATTAACCTACGACTATTTCTCCAGTTTGTCCAAATCCTTTTGAATTATAATCCTATCCTCCAAAGCACTTGCAACCCCTCCCAGCTTAGTATCATCTGCATATGAAGCATATAACAAGGCCTCGCCTTCCAACAAGGGAGGGGTGGCAAAGGGGGATGTTGCCCTGGAGCCTAGCAATTCTAAAAGGCTCTTTAGAATCCCCGCTGGAGCACCACACTCTCTAGAGCGCCACTTGCTGTGGCCAGCTCTGAGGTGGGTGGGAGAGGAGGAGGCATCACACGGTCCTGGCAGGGCTGAGAGCTGGTGCGCCGAGGCCCCAGCCCTTCAGGAAGCAGAGAGCTGCTCCTGCATATTGCCCAGGAGCATGGTATGGCTGTCTGCGCCCCCTGAGCAAGCAGGTTTCCCCTTTTAAGTGGTGTTGTACCAGGAGCAGCAAGGAGAAACCTTGCAGGAAGGTGCTGGGAATCAGTACATCCAACTAAGCAGCAGTTCATGACTGGCTCTGATTCCCAGTGGAAGATATAAATGAGGATCCATGGCTGGATGAGTAAAAGGGCCAGGAGAACAAACATGTCCCCAACCAGCAGCAGGCTGCAGCAAGCAGGGAGGATCTTGAGCTCCTAGGGAGCGGAGGAACCTACAGTAGCTGTCCAGTTCAGGGCTGTTACTTTTCCATATTTTCTTTATTTGTATAAGAGAAGAATAAACGAGCTGCCTCCATGAAACCTTAGGTGGAGATGGTGTTGTCTCCGAGCGGGTGGACAGACCCAGCAAACTTCATGGTGCTCTCTGGCAGTTGTTCAGGGAGACATAAAGGTAATGAAATACTCCTCATTTGCCCAAGTGGTGCTTTTGGAGCAGGGTAAAATTGTACTGGTTGAGCACAGAGTGAGGATGCTTGCATCATCACACCCACGTTGTACCTGTTTTACAGCTCAATGCAGCACATCAGTTAGTGCTTCTGTTGTGGAGGAGTGCTTGTTTTTCGGTGGGGAAGGATTATCCTGTTGATTCTGTAGGAATCTTCCATTTTTAAGGTAGCAGGCATCATTCCTGGCTACTGAATGAATAGCAGCTTTTGATACCACTGGTCCCAAGCTTTCCCTGACTTCCCTGCAGGATTTTGGAGCAGTGGATTGGACAGAGGTGAACTGGTTTAATTCCTTCCTCTATTTACCATTTTGCCCTAAAACTGCTTTTAATGCAGGGTTCCTTTACGGTCCCCTCCCTGCATCTGTGCAGGGCATTCAAGTTCAGCCTTGGGGCAGAGGGGTATGTGCAAAATTATAAATGTCCATGTGCATGTTTGTGTACATGGTTCTCTCTCTTGGAGATCTTATTAGATGTCTCTTACAAAAACAAGCTCTTAATGAAACAAAAGGCTCAAAGTCCCTACCTGGGGATTTAAGGGGGTCACTAAATATAATCAAACTTTTGGAGAATCAAACATCAATCTTTCTCAAAGGAAATATAATGTAGCTTAGCAAATAACAGAGGGGGAATTTGATACTTGCTTCAGAAACCACTAGGAAGACGTACTTCACTGGAGTAAAGAACACACAGTCTGAATGGAAGGGTGACGTGTTACTACACAGTAATGATGATGAAAATCTTATCTAGGTCTTTAAATATGTGGCACATTTTTTGATAGGAGAGCCAGGAACAGGATCGTAAACATGTTCCCTAATTTAAAACAAAACCCTCCGAACAAGAATATTGTACATGGCAAAGCTCTGACCATGCCCCAAGGGTCCTGTGCCTCCTGGCAGATAGTGTTTGCTTCAGAGGCTCGCTGTGACCCTCCACATAGCCTCTTCTTTTCCAGAAGCAAAGGCCACAGCCTGCTGAGCCCTACGCATCATAGGCTACGGTACAGTCTGGGGGAATACCCCTCCATAGTTTTGGTTTCCCCTCTCTTGGAGAGACTCTGTAGTGGGATGGGGAGGATTGGAGGGAATCCTGGTCTGTCTGCTACTCTGGGTTCCGGCCCAGGGACTGTAAAGCAGAGGCACAGACAGGGTTTCCTCTACTGCCCGTCTAACAGCTTCTTCCTTGGGCCACTTCCGCAAACCATCCTTCCAAGGACCTTTCCTCTGGTATCTTCTGATCCATGAAAGCTCTACACTTCCTTTGTGTATTTTCTTTCAGAAATGAGATGAAGAGGAACAAATGAATGGGAAGGCCCCCACTTGTGAAAGTAGGGGCAGAGGAGTGGAAGGAAGAAAACCTACATGGTGAATATCAATTAGCCAGCAATTATCTGGCTCCCCATAAAGGAAAATGTGGGTGATGAATTTGGACTCTCAAAAGCCGTCTCTTTAGATAGTGGTTTAAGCACAGGGAATGGAGTGTTGTGTGAGACCACTCCTCTTCCACTGTCTCCTGCTGTGCTTGTTCTGGGAGTAAAAGACTGAGGTTTGTAGTGAAATTCAAGTGCTGCCTTCCAGTGGCATTTACATTGTTCTTTAGCTAATCTTATCTGAAAGATAGTGCTTGGGGCACAGGAAAAACCTTTTGTTTGATATAGCTTGGAATTATTGCTGAGGGGATGCCAAAGATAGGACACACTGACAACAACTTCTATACATCAAATGTATTTATTTAGATGCAAATGAATAGTGATGCACAGCCAAGGCAGCTGGGTCTTAACATAATTAAATTTATATCTCAGAAGTGTTCAAATGATCAGTTCCATAGGAACTCAGCTGGCCAGACAACCATCTAAGAAGCATATCCTCAACCTTCTCCAACCTATCACCTCCTTGACTCCAAAAACACATGGTTAGTGCATCTCAAGATATTGGAAATACCTCAGTTTAGTACTCTTCTATGGTCACAGCGGGCAGAAGCTTTGGGGCAGATCCTTACCTGGTGTAAATTATCATAGCTTTGTAGATTTCCATGGAGCAGACACAACTCACATTAGCTGAAGATGTGTCCTAGGAAAGAAGTGTTGAAATAGATATTGCTTGTGAGTAAATACATTTGATATATTTATTGAATCTGTCACTCATCCTCCCCCTCCCTCTCCCATGACATCTGCTACACTTTTTGGTCACATGTTTAATGTGTTTTTGTTGAGTTCAGACTGGCTCTGCTTTTATAGTTATAACAAAATAAGGCCTCAGTTCAGCAATTTGTTCTGATTAAGTGGATCCCTATGCCTGTAAAAAGCTCTTTTGCCTTACAGTGAGGATGAGGAAAACAACTTGCAAGATGAGGATTTGAATTTCAAAGCTCTGATTCTCATTTCCGTTAATGCTGCTTTTTGTAGGCTACTGGGATAAATATGCAGGCACGTGTAAGAAAAAACAAGTCTGATATATGCTTGCTTCACCTTTCCCCATGAGCCAGAATTGGCAGGGCAGACCCACAGAGGTGTATGATTGGCACAGATTTTACAAACTGGTTAGCCAGATTCGATATTTTTGGTTTGAAACCAGAATTTTCCTTCTAGGTGGACTGCCTGTGATGGCTGACCAGCCCCACCTGCCTGAGAGACTCACACTGAGAGATGAAATGACTTGTCCAAGTCATGCTGCAGGTCAGTAGTAGAACCAGAACAAAACCCAGGTCTCCTGAGTCACAGTGCCCTTCCTTCTCCCCAGCTTTACAGTGCCTCCCCTAGGGAAAAGCAATTAAACTATTACAATAAAAAGGTTAGTCATCCTTCCGCCCCTCATACAGCACATTGAATGCAAGCAGTTTATTAATGCTTGCACAGGAATTGAAACTAATAGAAAATCTGGACAACAGTTGTTTACAACGAAGATGTGTGTACATCCACCCTTCCCCTGATGCATGCCATGCTACATCCTTTATCTTCAGACCACGAGATGACTTGCAGTAAATACAATGTATCATTAGTATGGTATTAGTAGAGGATTTGAAAAAAAAATGTTTCCCCTTCAAAGGCATGTCCTTCTGGGACTTGGAGCCTGCCTTGAAAATACATGGAAGTTAATGAAGAATTCCCACTGACTTAATAGATTGGGTCTAGAGGTACGTCTAGACTACATGCCTCTGTCGCCAGAGGCATGTAGATTAGGCTACCAGACATAGTAAAATGAAGCGGCGATTTAAATAATCGCTGCTTCATTTAAATTTACATGGCTGCCGCGCTGAGCCGACAAATAGCTGATCAGCTGTTTGT